ATGGTTGTGAGCTACAGTGTGGGTGCTGGGAATTGAACTCAGAACCTCTGGAAGAGCAGCCAGTGCTCTTAACCTCCAAGTCATCTCTCCAGCCTCTTGTTTTTTGAGACGGGTTTTTTTCTGTGTGACAGTGCTGGCTGTCCTCGTAGATCACTTTGTAGACCAGGCTGGCTTCAAACTCACAGAGATCCATCTGTCTCTGCCTCCCAAGTGCTGGGACTAAAGGTGTGTGAAACTGTGCCTGCCTGAATGAGAGGCTGTTATTTATCCTCAAGACCAAAGGTGTGCTGGAGAGATGGCTCAGAGGGTAAGAGCATTGCCTGCTCTTCCAAAGGTCCAGAGTTCAATTCCCAGCAACCACATGGTGGCTCACAACCATCTGTAATAAGGTGTGGTGCCCTCTTCTGGCCTGCAGGCATACATGGGAGGAATGCTGTATATATAATAAATAAATAAATATTTGAAAAAAAAAAAGACCAAAGGTTCCACCAGTTAAGACAGACCCTACTATCCAGTAGTTTCTGCCTTAGTGTCGTCTGCCCTGTAAGTCAATGAGGCCAGCGGATGGTGCGCCAGCATCGAGTGCACGCAACTATGCTTCCACTGCCTCCTGCTGCGAAATATATATCCACACTGAATCATCAGTTGTTTTAAAAATGTTTATTTACATGGGCGTTTTTTTCTGCATGGATGTATGTGCATCCCATGTATGCCTGGTGCCTGTTGAGGCCACAAGAGGGTGGCAGATCTCCTGGAATTGGAATTACAGACAGTTGTGAGGCACCATGTGGGTGCTGGGAATTGAACTGAGGTCCTCTGGAAGAGCAGCAAGTGTTCTTCTAAACTGCCAAGCCATCTCTCCAGCCCCTCATACACATTTAGTCCCCGCACACAGCAGGCAAATCCAGACTGGTTCGCATAGTGGGTGACAAAGCAGCCAAAGTTGCAAACAAAAAGCAAAAATCCAGGCATGGTGACACAAGCCTAGCATTTGGGAGTCTGAGGCAAAGATCTTTGTGAGCTGGAGGGCAGCCTGGACTACATGGCAAGTTATTTTCTTGGCATTACAGATTGAGCCCAGGGCTTCAAACATGTTCCAAAAGCACCTGAATACCGACACCCCACCATCCATCAATTGATTTTATTTGTGTGTATGCGGTGATGTCTATGTCATGTTACACATGTCACAATGTACATGTGATCAGAGAGAACTGTGGGGTCTGGGAATGGAACTCAGATTTTCAGGTTTGGTGATAAGCACCTTCACCTTGTGAGCTGTCTTGCTGGCCACAACCCATCAATTTTAAAATGGAGGACATTTGGGAACTGTTTTTTTCCACCATGGGTAAGTTCCAGTGATCAGATTCAAGTCATTAGGCTTGTATGGCAAGCATTTTAGTCACTAAGTTGTCCATCTCTCTGCCGCCCGCCCTCTCTGAGACTCTGAGACGGGGTCTTGCTATGCTATGTGACATTGACTGGCCTGGCCTTTGCTATATAGACCGGGATAGTCTTGAATTTCAGGTGATTCTCCTGCCTCTGCCTACCGAGTGCTGGATTACAATTATGTGCCACAATGCCCGGTCCCAAATCTTTGTTGTTGTTGAGACAGAGTCTCTCTATGTAGTCTTGGCTGGAACTCATCATGTGGTGGCACAAACCTTTAATAATAGCACATGGAAAGCAGAGGCAGGTAGATCTCTGTGGGTTCAAGGCCAGCCTGGGATAAAACCCTATCTCAAAAAACAAAGCCAAAAAAAGATAGGGTCTCTTCTAAGCACAGTTTGGCCTTGAACTTCCTTTTTTGTTTTGTTTTGTTTCAGTTTGGTTTTTTTGAGACATGGCTTCTCTGTGCAGATCTGGTTGTCCTGGAACTGGCTCTGTAGACCAGGCCGTCCTGGAACTCAGAGATCTGTCTCTGAGTGCTGGGATTAAAGGTCTGTATCATCACACTGGACACTGAACTCCATCCCTTGGAGAACTGAGTCTCAGATCCAGGGTTTTGTGTGTGTGTGGCAAGCACCTACCAACTGATCCACACCTTCAGCCTGTACTAGAGTTTGCAATGCTAAGAATCAGTATTGATCCTCCAAACCCCAAGCTGACAGTTTATAAGACCCACTCCTCCCTAGGATTCTTGACCTCAGACTCACTTAGGACTGATCAGTTCTGCTAGGGAAAGTAGATTGGAGGGGAAAAAAAAAACTCAGGCAACTGCTGTGGAATTTGGAATATTACTTTAACTATATATTGTTTTTGTCTATGTTGCATTTGTTTAACTATGTAAAGATGTGTTGCTATTTCACCTTGCCTGCCTAAGGCACCTGACTGATATAATAAAAAGCTGAACAGCCAATAGCTAGAAGGTAGTGGGGTAGCTGGGCTGGCAGGCGGAGAGTATAAGAAGGAGGAATCTAGGCTGGGGGCAGGGAGGAAGAAAAAGGGGGAGATGTCATGCGTTGGGATATTGCTCTTGTATACTTGTAAAGATTTGTCACTCACATTGGTTTAATAAAATGGTGATTGGTCAGTAGCCAGGCAGGAATTATAAGCAGGGCTACCAGACTAGAATTCTGGGGAAAGAAAAGGCAGAGATACAGTTGTCAGCCAGATGTAGGGGAAGCAAGATGAGAATGCCTTGCTGAGAAAAGTACCAAGCAATATGGCTAAACATAATTAAGAATTATGGGTTAATTTAAGTTGTAAGAGCTAGTTAGTAATAAGTCTGAGCAATAGGCCAAACTGTTTATAATTAATATAAGCCTCTGTGTGCTTATTTGGAACTGAATGGTTGAGGTACTGGGCAGGACAGAAACTTCCATCTACAATACCAGATGCCAGCCAGCCATGGAGGAAGCAGGGAAATAGAACATATAGAATGAAAGGTAAAAGACCCGAGGAAAAACAGATGAAGAAAAACAGGTTAAATTATGAGCTAGTGGGACAAGCATAAGGCTGACCATTCATAACTAATAATGAGTCTCCATGTCATTTGAGGGCTGGTAGTCTGAGAAAGCTTGCTACAGCCAGCAACCTAAGTATGAGACAAAGGTCTATTTTCTCACCTTCCATCCCTAATCCCTGTCCTCGCCAGAACAGCCCAAGCCATGGACTAACTCAATGGGACCATCCTCCTCCTAGGTTCTACTCTATATAGAACATATTGTCCTAGCCAGTCACTTCCCTGACAGTGGGAAGTAAAACCCACGGGAAGGTCAGACTTGCTTCAAACAACTGTTCGCTGTTGCACATTGGAGCGTCTGAGTTGGCAGTGCCCTGACCAAAGTCCCTTAGCAGAGCTAGGAATTTATGTATGTGGAGACCCTGCACATTTACTGGTTAGGAGGCACATTAGGTACTCAAATATACTCACTGTGCAGGCATGTGTTGGGGGGTAAAGTCACAAAAGGCCACCCTGAGGTAGCTATTAGCTTTTAGTCTTGGCACAAAGGATAGGATACCCATCATAGGTTAAAGACTACCCTTAGCAACCCTGACCTGGCCGGAATATAAACCCTGACTATGTTAGGAGGGACCAGGTAGATCAGTTAGGAGCAGAACCAAATCACAGGCCTTCTTTCACAGCATCTTCCCAGACAGGGCTATCAGAAAGGGCTATGCATTTCAAAAGGCAGAAGGCAGGGAGGAGGCCTTACAGGAAAGGATGACCACTTGTGGCCTTGGAGGAGCTGCAAAGATAAAATTATAACCCTCAAACTGTCTGCTGAGATCTTGAATGGATAAAGTCTTTCAAACCATGGGCATGGTGGAGATTGGACAGGGCTGACTCACACATTGACACCAGGATAGGCAACAAGAAACCATCCTCAGCACTGATTCTGTGTGGGATTGTGCTGTAGGGTATTCCTGTCTTATAGGAGTCCAGCAATAATTGTCTCTAATCCCCATTCTAACAACCAAAAACATCTCCAGATATGATTCAGGCAATATTAAGAACCACTGCCCAGCTTGGCAGTGGTGGTGCCTGCTTTTAAGCACTTGGGAGGCAGAGGCAGGTGGATCTCTGTGAGTTCGAGGTCAGTCTGGTCTACAAGAGCCAGTTCCAGGACAGCTAGGGCTGTTACACGGAGAAACCCTGTGGTGGTGGTGGTGGTGGTGAACCACTGCCCTTGGGCCAAGCATGGTGCTGCATGGCTTTAACCTCAGTACTCAGGAGCCAGAATCAGATGGATCTCTGAATTTGAGGCCAGCCTGGCCTAGTGAGTCCTAGGACAGCCATTAGAGAGACACCTTTTATCAACACACACACACACCCCAACCAAAAAGTCATTATTCTGTAGAAACCATGAGGTGAAGTAGCCCAGGGCCACTTCTTTACTGACTGACATATTGGGTGGGAGCTAGCAAGGTAACTGAACTACCTGGGTTTCCTTCCTTACAGGCCTCTCTGCTAAGATCTGGAAGCTTAGCTTTAGACAGCAAATCAAAACCCCATTTCTCCTCTAAAAGGAAGTGTGGGGTGAGCCACAGGGCAGCCCTTGGGCAGGGCTGGAAGGAAATACCAGGAGCAGCTGTGGATAGCCAAAATTGCCAGCAGAAGGCAGGGAGCTGCAGGGTTTGATTTGGCCAGAACTGGCTCAAAGAGGGCATGTTCCCCTTCACCAAGGCTCAATCTTGGTGGCCCTGGTCCTAGCACCCCTCTTCCAAACCCCACAGGCGGCCAGATTCAGGAAGACTATCACAGCTGGAATCCTGAAAGAAGCTTTTAGCCAGCTGCTCTGATCTTCCGTCAGGGTCTATGGGATGCCAAGAGTCTGACTACTGCCCCCTTATGGTCACTAGTAAAACAGCTACATTAGAGGATTTTAGCACTCTGTCCAATCACTTTCAATCTTTCAGCAGAGCCCGCAATGCCCTTTTGAGACCATGACTTTTGGAAACCTTTTCACTGATTCACATGTGTTAGGCATTCAATACCAACGGACATTTGGCTTTCAGTATCATCTACCCTAGATTGGTTAACTCTGACGATCGATAGATAGAGTCCTTCCAACGTTTATTATAACGGGTCAGCAGCAGCCAGAGGGCCAGAGGGATGGAACTCCAGACTCATTTATTCTTCATGTAGATCTTTGGGGTCTGCCAGCTCTCAGGGGCTTCCTTCAGGCCTGCCTTTAGCCAGATGCGCTTCAACTCTTTCTCAAACTTGATCTGCGAGGGCAGAGGGGGGAAATCGACACATTATCAGTAAAGCCAGACACTCTTAAACACTGCCAATCAAGGTCCACGGGAGGGGCCATATTCACCTGCTTCCTTTTCAGACGTCCCTCCCGGACTTTACGCCGCTGAAACCGTGTCCTCTTGATCAGCTTACGGTACTTGTGGTGGTTCATCTTCCGTCTTCGGATCTTCAGTACATTTTTGCACTGCATTGGAGTGGCGTCCCTGACGCCCTGCTTGGGTTCTTCCTCCTCCTGGCTGGGGGGACACTTGTGGAATCGGGAGGGAACCACAGTCATTGGGACCCCAACATCCAGTTTGGGCAACAGGTATCTGGCAGTCAGCCAGCTCTCTAGCGGGCTGATGGACATCCTCCTGGGGACCAGGAACTCCTCAAGCTCCAACTGAGCCCCCTTACAAGGAAGGGAGGCGACCCGAGTTAAGCTTGCAAACTGCAAACTGTAAAGGGGTCGAAAAGCATGGCTGCTGGTCACCCCGGAATTAGGCCAGGAACGACGGAAACCTGGGGGAAACAACAGTCGCTACTGGTGAGACCACACCATATTAGAGCACTACTACTACCCAGGCTCGGGTAACATGTACCCCCAAACAGGGGAAACCTGGCCCTTACTCCAGTCTAAAGCTATGATGTACCCCTCATATTACTCCGAAGTTCGCAGGGAAAGTCTGGACAGGATCCTGTTTCCAGCAAGTTAAGACTGCTGAGGGCAAGCTGGGCTGCTCTGATTCTCATCCCCAACCCAGGCGTGGACTCCGTGTCCACGGGGCCTCTTACCTGCCCAGGGAACAGCCCTGACCAGCCGTGAAGTCAGGCGCGCAAGGAACATGGTGAGGGGAGGCCAGGCCACAGATGCTCAGAGCTAGAACACAGGTACCGGCTGAGGTCAAGCGGAGGCGGGGGGCTGTGCCTGTGCCCTCAGCCGCCGCCGACCGGCCAGGCAGCATGCTTCACAGACCCCACCACCCTGGATGCCCCTGATTAGCAATGAGGCATCTTCCAACGCCGCTCTTGGCTAAATTCCTGTCTACTTATCTGCACCAACTTGATCCCCGCAAGCCGTTCACCCCACTGCTTATGCTCGGGCACCCGAACCCACAGCGCGGGATGGAACCGACGAACGCACCGAACACACCAAGGGCAGCAGCTACCCGCGGGCTCCCATCTCTGCAGCTCTTTCAAACTTCCGACCCGCAGACCCAACCCCGGAAGTTACTGCCGACCATAGTGCCATGGACCGTAAGGACTTCCGGTGCGTAAACTGGGGACGGGTTCCGCCCCAGCGCGATCCAACCCGGCGCCCTCTGGCGCCCGACTCGGCGTCGACATGTTTTCCGGGCGCTCCAAGCAAGCAATCCCCCCGCCCCAGTTCGCCAGCAGCACGTCAGTTCCGGGCAAGAAAGGGCAAGAAAGGCACCCAACCCCACATCCGTCCGCAATCCCCCTACGGTGTTCTCTGCGCACGCGTGACTTCTAGCAGTGTTTTTGTTGCTTCGTCTCCCCTGGCAGGCAGGACCGCAGAATTGACGTAAGGAAAGGCAGCGACGAAAGCGTTTGGAGCTGCTGTTAGGGCTGGAGATGGTTTAGGAACAGCCCTGTGGCATATGATGGGTGGGGGTCAGATGATGCTCGCAGGGTTTGGTGCTGTTCTGAACATACTGCCTCATCCCTTTAATTTGACAACCACTTCTCCCCACCAATCTCAAGTGAGGTCCTAAATCCTATATGGGCCATTCCTAAACCAAACAAGCACCAATAGTGTACTTTGGTTTTGGGGGGAGGGTAGGGCTCTCACACATTGTTATTTTTCCAGACAGGGTTTCTCTGTGTAACAGACCCCTGGTTGTCCTTGAACTCGCTCTGTAGATCGGACTGGGGGTTTCTCTGTGTAACAGACCCCTGGTTGTCCTGGAACTCGCTCTGTAGACGGGGCTGACCTCACAGAGCTCCGCCTGCCTCTGCTTCCTGTTAGCTCACACGTTTACTTTTTACCCAAAAACCTAAAGCAGCCTCTGTGGAATATGGGTGCTGCTTCCTCACCCAGAAAGGCTGGTTGGCCCTGATGGACAGGGGCACCCACTTTAGGAAAGGCCTGTGTAAGACTCAAGAACTCGGGGGCTGGAGAGCACTGACTGCTCTTCCAGAGGTCCTGAGTTCAATTCCCAACAACCACATGGTGGCTCACAGCCATCTATAATGAGATATGGCGCCCTCTTCTGTCATGCAAGCATACATGGATGGAATGTTGTATACATAATAAATAAATCTTTAAAAAAAAAAAAAGACTCAAGAACTCCTTCATTTGAGGAACTGCTTATGCTTTGCATGAGGGCATTTCTGGGTAATATTAGCAAGAAGTGGCCAAGTGTGTCTTCCCCAGGTACTAACCTAGCTAACAGTGGTAGGAGCATAACCAATGAAGACAGAAAAGGCAGGTTCTAGTCCCAGCTCCGTAACTGAGGTCACGAGGCGATGCCTGAGATAGGAAGGTTTAGTCATGTCTGATGGTGTTGAGGGAGAGGAGGCACACAGCGCACATGTAAAGGTCAGAGGATAACTTTGTCGAGTCCGCTCTCTTCTTCCATCTCTATGTGGATTCCAGGGATCTGATTCAGGTTCTCAGGCTTGTGTGGCAAGCACTTAACCCACGGAGCCATATGCTGCACTAACCCAAACACAAAGGTTTATGAACATCAAGAGTATCTTCAGGTCACAGCTTCTTCCCTGCCTGGGTTTAGCCACAAAAGGCAATATGGTGCCCTCTAGACTCCAACCTTCATCTTGGTGCATCCACGCCTCTAAGGGTCGTTTATCTTCTGCACTCTATCTAATTAGATGAAAATGGAAGACCTAACAAAGGATCCATTAGAGAGGTGATCATGTTGAGAACAATCCAGATAAGGACAGTGCCTCCTAGGGGTCAGGAACCAATAGGTGAAAGGGCAAGATCAATCCGACCATCCTCCTTCCCCAAGCCCAGGAACTAGTCCAATGTCAGATGGCCTTCTGTATATGTGTTGCTCTTACTGGTTAATGAATAAAGCTGTACTGGCCTATGGCGGGGCAGGATATAGCCAGGCTGGAAGAGATCTAGAGAGTAGGCGGAGTCAAGGAGCCGCCAAGAAGCAAGACATAGCAAAACCACAAGCCTAGTGGTGAAATATATAGAAACGGGGTAAGATTGTAAGATGTTAGATGTAACAGTTAGTTAATAAGAAGCCTGAGCTAACACGCTAAACAGCATTGTAATATAGTTTCTGTGTGATTATTCGGGTCTGGGAAACGAACAAGCAGTCTCCGCTTATAAAACTGGCCTTTAATAGTGGTGATGGCGGCAGGTCCAAGCACTCGGGAGGCAGAGGCAGGTGGATCGCTGTGAGTTTGAGGCCAGCCTGGTCTACAGGACAGGCACTAAAGTTACAGAGAAACCATGTCTCAAAACAAAACAAAACAAAACAAAAATACTCTGGTCTTCAGCGAGGCGAGAAATGCCAGACTTTTAAGATCCCTATGCCTCACCAGGTCCCAGGCCAAAACAGAAGGGGCCAGGTCAGAGTAGGACAGCTGCTCGGTCATGGTGGCACTGAAATATGGGTACATATCTGTAAGACTGTACTGCTGGGATGAGCCAACTGGAACTACAAAGATCAATTCTTCACAAAAACCTGAAGAAAAAGCACTGGTGGTATTGAAGTTAAGAGCACCTCTGACTCTTCTATAGGATTTTAGTTTGTTCCCAATACCCAGATCAGGTGGATCACAGTGTGCCTTCAATGCTAGCACTTAGCAAGCAGAGGAAGGTGATCTCTAAGTTCTAGGTCAGCTTGGTCCACGAAGCAAAACCCTGTCTAAAAGAAAAATCACTAATAGAATATTTTGAGGGAGGGTGTATGTGTTTGTTTTCTTTTAGAGGACAGAGGAGATTTAAGAATGTGGCCAAAGGCAGGCCCACAGTAGGCCTGCCTGTATTACAGCGGTTAAGAGCACTGACTGCTCTTCCAGAGGATCCAGGTTCGATTCCCAGAACCCATATGGCAGCTCACAAGTATCTGTAACTCAAGTTCTAGGGTACCCGGTACCCATGGCAATATATCAAAGCACTGTAGTCAGAGACTGCTCATTTGTTTCCTGAACACCCAGACCCAAATAGTCACACAGAAACTATACTAATACTGTTTGGCCTATTAGCTCAGGCTTCTTATCAACTAACTCTTACATCTTAAATGAATCCATTTCTATAAATCTGTGTATCACCACGAGGCTGTGGCCTACTGGTAAGTTTCCAGTGGGTGGAGCATCACCAACTCTGCCTTCTCTTTATATATCTTTTCCAGCCTGGCTACATTCTGCCCTGCCATAGGCCAAAGTACTTTTTTTTTTTTTATTAACCAATGGTAATAAAACACATTCACGGCATACAGAGGGGAATTCCACATCAAAGCACATAAAGTTAAATTAGAAAAATTAAAAAGTAAAACAAACCAAAAAAACGAGCCCTAGTATGGGGCGCAGAAGCCTCAGCCTATATCTTTTTTTGGTGGGTAAGGACAGGGTTCAAGATAGGTTTTTTTTTTTGGGGGGGTGGGGGGTTTAGAGACAGGGTTTCTCTGTAGCTTTGGAGTCTGTCCTGGAACTAGCTCTAGTAGACCAGGCTGGCCTCGAACTCACAGAGATCCACCTGCCTCTGCCTCCTGAGTGCTGGGATTAAAGGTGTGTACCACCACTGCCCAGCTAAGATAGGGTTTTTTTTTTTTTTTTTAGCCTCGACTGTCTTGGAATTAGCTCTGTAGATCAGGCTGGCCTCAAACTCACAGAGATCTGCCTGTCTCTGTCTCCTAAGTGCTGGGACTAAAGGCATGTGCCACCACTGTCAGGCTAGAACCCCCCCCCCCCTTTAAAAAAAAAAGATTTATTTATTTCTTATGCATACAGCGTTCTGAATGCCTGTATGCCAGAAGAGGGCACCAGATCTTATTTATAGGTACCTGGGAGGTACCATGTGGTTGCTGGAAATTGAACTCATGACCTCTGGAAGAATAGCTAGTGCTCTTAACCTCTGAGCCACCTCTCCAGCCCTAGAAACCCCTTCTTAATTAAACTTAAGGGAAATATTCTAAAACAAAACATACTATTATGTGGTTTTTCTTACTATTATGTAAGATCTAAATGTTACTCAAATATTATACATGATGAAAAAGCTGTATAGTGTCTTCTGCATCAAATAAAGTGACCACTCTGCACAACAGCATCACTGTGCCTGAACCACAGGACTTTTTTTTTTTTTTTAACTCTTTTAAGTAGAGGCGGGTCAATGAGAACAGGAGAATTCTGGGTCCTCCCCAGTCCTGTCCAGACATAGAAGAAGCAAGATGTGACCTGTCCTGGTGAATAAGGCACTGAGCCACATGGCTAACATAGATAAGAATAATGGGCCAATCAGTTTACAACTAAAAAAATAAAATAAAATACTCTTTTAAGATTTATTTATTTATTATGTATATAGTGCTTTGCCTGCACATATGTCTGCAGGCCAGAAGAGGGCACCAGATCTCATTACAGACGTTTGTGGTTGCTGGGAATTGAACTCAGGACCTTTGGAAGAACAGTCAGTGCTCTTAACAACTGAGCCATCTCTCAGTCACAAACCACAGGATTCTTGATGAAGAGTATATGAACAAGGCAAACAGTGGTTTCTGTACCCTATGTCACATGGATTCCCTTAGAGCAGTGATTCTTAACCTTCTTAATGCTTCCTAAATTCCCTTTAATACAATTTCTCACATTATGGTGACCCCCAATACCAATCAAAACTATTTTTATTGCTACTCCAATGGTCTTGGGTGACCCCTGTGAAAGGGTCATTTCACCCCAAGGGGTCGCAACCAAGAGGTTGAGAATCACTGCCTTAGAGGGAGGGAAGGGTTGATCATACCACCCTCAGATAGGGGCTACCAGGATAAACTGTTTCCTCTTGCCAAGGGCCCACAAATACCTTGCTGAACTTGTACTGGTCTCAATGGTCACCATGACCTGGGAGCCACTGCAGTAGAGTTGACCCACATGCTACTTGTGAAGTGACAGGGAACCAGGAAGCTGGCCTGAGCAGGATTTGATTAGCCAACAATGCTACTCAGACAAAGTATATGCAGGCTACCAGGATGGACTGAAGTTCTGGCTGAGGGTAGAGTAGTCTATGTGGAACAGGCCCATACTTGTCTCTAGGAGCTAGTCTAAGGAAGTGACCCCTGGCAAGAGCCAG